AGACGGTCACGGTCATCAGAGCGGGAACATCTCTGTCTGCAGCAGGGCCTGGCCCACAAGCTGACCGTAAATGCCGCCCTGGCGCTAGGAGGGGCAGGGAAACCCACCAACAAATGGCTCGTTTTTGCGACGGCCCATAGCATCCTATTGTTCACCTCTGTGAACACCGAGAAATGATCCAGGACCAACGGAAGGCCTCATGTGTCTCCTCTCAAAATGTCCTGGTTTTAGTCAGAAAGGCCCCCATAACTCTGGTGCAGAAGGGCACTGGTCTATGGGATCCATACGTTGTTTTGCAGACTCTACTTGCTGGGTGTGGGTCTGTGAAAATGGTCTATCTGGGGGGAACTGTCTTATCTGGTTTGGAATTTTACCCCATTTTCACGAAGTCTTGAGAACTAGAACTAAAAATCAAAAGCCTGCCCTTGAGGGCCACTAGCAGTTCTGATTCTGATGAATGAGAAAATCTTAGGGACAGGCTTGCTTTATTCTGAAAAATCCCTCCAAAGAGACTTCCGTTTGAAATAATATAAGCAAAGAAACATCTGAAACAGAGACCAGAGCTACTGGTGCTCAGTGATGGAAGCACTTGGACAAGGGATACAGGTGGCCGTTGCGAGGCCGGCAGAAGACAGCTTTCAACGGGACGGTCCGGGGATGGGGACGCGGGGCTGGGTGTTCCACCCGCGAATCCTCCCGGGTTGCAGCCCTACGGCTGGACTGGGGGCCAGAAGCTCACACCCCGGCTCTCGTGAGCAGTCGCAAGCTGTCAATTGTAAACTGCCGTAGCTCTCACCGTGGACGGCTCTCATTCTAATAATCCGTCAATGAATACCTTCAGAATTTCTAAGGCACGTAACCTCATTAGTGATCATTTCACTGCCTCCTTTCAAGGTGCTCTGCGATTCTTTCATTCCCTTGGTAGAAGGGAGATGCTTTTCCAACTGGTCAAAATGATAACAGCGAAGTAGTACTGTGTTTTGCACAGCAATCTTTTTAAAAGCATGGATTTAAGAACTGAATCCAGCCCCCTGTCCATATCCCCAGACCCCTCCCTTTCAAAGCTGTCACCTGCTGGCCTAGAGGCAGGTCGTGAGCTCAGGAGCTTTTAAACTAATAGTTTTGGAGAGATGCAGTGATACCCAACCTCAGGGTGATGCTGAAGAGAACAGGAAGCATAGCCAAGAGCTATTACGGATCAAGAAGGGGCAAGACAAGCCCTGGCCGGTTTGGCTCAGCGGTTAAAGCGTCAGCCTGTCCACGTGAGAAACAGACACGAGCCTCATTTACGAACAAGCACTTGACTAACGCGAGGCCTGAGGACGGCGGGCGTAGCAGCTGCACATGACATATGAATCCCATGTGAACAAATCGATAAAATAATTCTTGGAAATCAGAAAATTATGGATTGAGAGTTTCCCATCTAAAAACTAGATGCATCTATACTGCCGTAAATAACTTTTTCAAGTAAAAACAGTCAGTAATCACTAAGTTTGAATTGCAAAGAAAAGTAAATGTATCATTTCCACTAGTTTTTTTTTTTTTTTTTTGGTATGTGCCCCTAGTGGGAACCAAACCCAGGACTCTCTGGTCCACAGACCGACGCTCCCACAGCTGAGCCAAACCAGCCAGGGTTCATTTCCACTATTTTTAATCAGCTCTTACAGGAACCTCTTATTTATGTTTATTTATTGCAACATTGCTAAGAAATTCTGAGTTGTATCAGTTAGGCACTGGAATATATTTGCAGACCCTGCAAAATTATGATTTTTAAAAAAATGAGCTTGGGTTGGAGTTTGTGAAATAAAAATTAGGCTAATATATACCAGGCGATCACTCCAATATCTATTATTTCCTCGGAATGGTGTGAAAGGGAGGTGGGGAGGAGAGAGAAGCACATTTGCTAACACCAAAGACTTCAATCATGAAGACAACTGTGAGATATGATCTTTATATTATGAACACCGTAGGTTTAAATTTGGCTTTTGGCAAATAGGAAAATTACAGTTAAACACATACGTCGCATTCTAATGAGTTACTAATCATTAAAATTTGCAGAACTGCGCTGCTTAGTCTCATGTTATCTGTTACTGCAGACTATTTCACATTCTGCATTGAATGCTTCCATATGGTAAATATATCCTTCCCATAAAATAAAACTTGAACATCAGATCTTTGCCATTAGCAGAGCCAGAGCAAACGGAAGCAGCCACGTTAAAAGTAAGAAACCATTACTTATTTCTTCGTCTAAATTGCTATTCCTGTAAACAGACTGTTCACTAGACTCGAAAAGTTACATAATATCAAGTAGGAATTCAACACCTGGCTCTCCAGGGATTTCTTTAGAAGCTCTGTATTTAACCAAAATGTGATTTTTTTTGACCCTTGATAGCTAGATGATCGACTCAGTTCTACACTTTATAGGAGTTTAGAATAAATAAAATTTGCTTTATTCATTGCCAATTTTTTACTGGTTATTCAGGGCACAGGAATAAAATTGTGAAATTTCCCGGGATCATTGTTTCTCAGGGTTCTTCTATGCACGGAGTGTGCTTAATGACTCCAAAGTGCTCAATGAAATTATGTAAGAAAACAGGTGGCGGAGGAGAAACAAAAAAATTAGACAGCTTTCATACATTAAAAGCCACTGCACAAAATAAAATATATTTTTAGTTTGCCAAAGAATTTAAACTGAAAAATAACACAACTTTGGTCTTATAATAAGCATAAGAAATTATGAAACTATTTTGCTAAGTTCTCATATGATTGATAAATCTTTATCCATTTTAAGTGTTTATTAAGGGCAAAATGTCACTCAGGTGGCTATGCATAGGTAGAAATCTCTAGTACGAAAAATTACAAATCCATTAATCTAAATGTTTAAAGGATTTACAATATTTTTTCATCTTAATTCATCAGCAAGGGGAGGATGTCTTTTTTTTAATACCTGAAAGAGCTTCACTACACTAAACTAGAACCCACTGACTGATGTCTCTGTGACCTAGTTTTGCATTTAGATAAGAATTTCTGTCCACAATAATACTCCAAGTGGATTATAAAATCTGTTAATGAGATTTATTTTGGTTTGCCATTTAATAATTTTATGAATCTAATAACATTGTAATTATAAAAATAACAAATGCATATTATATATTAAAAAATAAAGATAAGATTCAGAAACGATTCCTGTTAATACTTTCACATATTTCGTGCAATGAAGAATTCTATATAAATGTCATTTAATCTATATAAATTTTATTCTGTATAAGTCTGCAATTTTCATAAAATTTAAAAAACAGGGTTTATAAAATTTGGAATTCTGCTTTCTTTATATGTTTATAATCCTTTGCCATATTACTTAATATGCTAAGAAAATGTCACTACATCATTTTGAAGATGTACAAGAGTCTATATGGAGAAATTATAAATCATTTCTTTTGTTGAGCATTTTATAATATTTACATCTTTTTGCTGCACTAATAATACCTTTTTGAGATTGTCAAGAAAATCAAGATAAAGCCCTTCTGTTACTCAGAATAATGCCTAACAATTATTAATAACTACTTATAACATCAATCATAATTATTTATCTTTATATTATTGTAAGTTTTAACTAATTTTTGCCTTGCAGTTTTTTTCATAAATTGCTTTGAGATAAAATGCATTTTTATCTGGTTTTTAAAATAGTTTTCTTTCTAATAATTCTTTAAAACATATAAATATAATATTAAGAATTTGAAAGTAATTTTTTTCTAATACTGAACTAAATATCTCATATCAAATGTATATATTTATTTGTCCAATTATTTATCCTATGTCCTATTATGTAAAATACATATGTATGCTCAATAATTGCAATAATATAAATATTAAAACACCCTTGAATATGGGCAGATTGATTTCTAACGAATCTTTGAAATCTTTGAACAGCAGTGAACCTTATTGCATTCCTTTTATTTTAGACAACAAAACAAAATATTTTACCCACAGTCGGCCAATCCTATTTATTGTAACTTTTTTCCACAGATTGTCACCAGCTGAGCTAAAACAGCAGCTGTCCATTGGAAATAACTGCAGAACTGTTTTGCCCATTGGCCTGAAATCAAACATATGTTTTCCTACAACAACTAAAATAGAACTTTCTTTTTTGATGTGTGTTAATTATGGAGGAGGGTTAATTACAGAGTTATCCACCTGGACTGTCAGACTGGCATTAAATTCCCAGCCTCTTCAGAGTGGGGATTTTCAGATATATTACCATTTTCAGTGTTTCCATATTTGAAATAATAAGTGTATATTCTTCAATAATTATTTTTGACACTTTTTAAAATTTAACATTTGTCAAAGATCATGTCTAGACAGAGCAGAGAGAGTAAACAGCTCATTTGCCCCATATCTAATCAGTGCTGGGAGCTAATTTAAAACCACCAAGGCAAACAGTCTTTAGTTTGGATGATAATGATTTTCTTTGCACGTATATGGAAGGCATTATGATCGGCTCACAACGTACCTTGTATAGATTTTTCAAGCATGTCAATTAGTAGACATTTTAAAAAACAAATACTGGTAATGTAGCAAGGGTTCTATTTCCAAATTTATTTATATTATTGCCTGGTATGTGGAGTGCTTATCTAGTTTACTTGCAAAGGCTTTTGGTTAATTTCAGGGTTTTATTACTAAAATAATCAATGAGGAGGCCCAGTCATTTCTCCAAGTAGGTCCCTTAAAATATGTAAAACATGTGCCTATTGTCACTGAGCTATGGACAAGGGCTGGGTTACTCAGAGAATAGAATTGATAGGGTGTAATTACATGTGTCATTCAAGATTCCCCAAGATCATGACACCTAAAAATAAATGCACAGCTTCTCTTCCAAAATTAAAATAACGAAGGTTCCATATCGCCATTCTGTCTGTCTCCTACACCTTTACATCAAAGTAGACATGGCTTCCCAGTAATCTCTGTGAAGTTGCCATATAGACAATTAAAATAAATATTACCTTCTGTATAGTAATGATTCCTTCCTGTGTATCTTTGTCAACAGCAATCTTGAAAACTCCCAATCCATCTCCATCCACAATTCTGTATTCCATTTCAGCATTAGGACCTATATCTGCATCCGCCGCTTTAATTCTGGCTACGACCGAGGCCACTGGCAATGATTCAGGGACATTATATTGGTAAGATCCTGTGAAAGTCAAAACAAAGATGAGCAAACCCTTACACCAAGCTAACCAAGGGGGAAAAATGTATCTAGTATTTGGCTACCTTGCATCATCTTGGCTGAATTGGATTTTAGTTTTGATAAAGAAGAGGCTAAGACAATATGAGACAAGTTTCACACAGTCTCAGGATATTTCAGGGGGATATGTCAGGGGGAGAAGCAGACAGTAATATGTGTCGGCAGAATCAGACCGCCTGAGAGAAGCAACTTTGTTCCTGTATTTCTAGTGGCGGGAACTACGCTACTTTAAATACAAAAATAAATTTTAAATGATCATTCATATAATTCGTACACAGTCAATGAATGTCAACAAGTAAAATATATTATAAATATTGAAAAATAAAAGTAGCATAGCGTAGGCTTCAAATCAGCAAGTACAAGCCTCAATAGTGCTGATTACTTAATGGTTTCTTTTATTAACAGTTTCAGGAATGGAAGTTTATGAAAAACAATTTTAGTCTTGTTTCAGCTAATAAATTGACCATGGATGAGAATTAATCGTGTGGGTTGTATGCAGGACGGATGGAGTACAATGGTACCAGAGCAGAGGCAGTATTATTTGAACAGGAGGAAACAGAAGCAAAAAAAGAAGTTTTATACACACACACACACACACACACACACACACGTTTTTATTGATATTGTTAGAGAGAGGAAGGGAGAGAGAGACAGCCAAACGATGTTTCTCTCTCACATCAATGCTTCTAACTCCTGTGCGCCCCCTACTGGTGACTAAGCCCCACAACCCAGGCATGTGCCCTGACCAAGAATTGAACCCAGACCTCTCAGTCCATAGGACAATGCTCAATTCACTGAGCCACACTGGCCAGGCAAGAGTACTTTCTCTTTAAAAAAAAAAAAAATCTTGTAAAAATTCCTCTTCACTATCCCTCAGTTCAAAAAAAAATACACAATAAAAAAATTGGGGAGAAGATGAAATAGATGGATCATCCTTTCAAAACCAAGAAACTCCTCAGAACACGACCATCTCTGATCATCTATTTTCTTCCTCCACCCGACTCCATTCCCTTCGGGTCACCAGACGTGGTGCGTCTTCACTTCCTTATGGAGAAGAAGGCTTCTCTCTCAGAGGAACGTGCGAAGGAAAACGTATCTAAACGAAATGATCACATTTTAGGCTGAGAATGGTTGCTGTTCTCAATTTTCTAAATTTTGTGAGTCGTTACTGATTTTTCAAGAAATGATTACAAAAGATGCTTATCATTTCTGAGTGACCCTTGTACACATACATATCCAGACTTCTCCTTAGTAAAATCCAAAATTTCAAGGTTAGAATAGTAACCAAATGGTAGAGGAAAATCTCAACAGAAAAATGAAAACCCTAATGACACATTCTTGGCTTCCTTCACTTGGAAAAGCAGGAGAAGATCTAATAAGCTAGAAAACCTGTGCTCTATCTCATCAAATCATGACAAATGAAACCACAAAAATTCTCAGTATCACTTCTTATCTCTGTAGGCTTAAAGAAAAGAGAAACAATGAAATTTATTATGAGCCCAATATAATTATATTATTGCTTGTATTTTTTCAAATTCTATAATCCTCACCTCCCCATTTATAAGCATCAAGAGCACAATTAAGGATAGGTTCATTTTTCTTTTTTAATGAAAAACTTAGGATAATGTTGTGGCTTTTCTTTTTGCCAGGAGGTACTGAAATGTCTGCTGTATAATAATACACATATTAAAAATACGTAAAATGAAAATGAAATAGCTAAAACAGCAGGATTTGAAAAACAGTGGCATTCATATGTGCAGAGAAAGTTCCCTTGCTCGACATTATTCTCCTGTAAGGGTCTGTTTGCAAGGCAGCTTAGGCCCCATTTCTATCAAACAAGCATTTTTGAGACACTGTAGTCTGTACAATTTCCTTACATTCTTGAACATTGTAAAGAAGTACCATATACACTTACAAAAGAGAAGAAGCCAACTAAAAGAGAGTGAGATAAAATGCTTTGTTATGATTAGGGCATCTCTGCATACAGAATTTTTTTTTTTTTTTTTTTACCTTTTTTTTTTTGTTAAGTCAAAAGCCATTTTGGTCAAAGAAAGGAAATTGAGGGCATGCAGTTTTTTTATTCCTTAGATTGATTTCTTTGTACACTGAGTATGCACAAGAAAGATGTGGTAGAACTATCAAGGAATGTTCCACGTGCATGAATTGGTTTAAAAGGTGTGGAATCAGAAATGAATGCGTCAGGGCTCTGCTACTTTGATTTGGAAAAATAAAGCATTCTTTTCTGGTACTCAACCACGTAAGGCACGGAATGTTTACAAATGCTTTGGAATAAAATGGTTAGTACATAAACAAATGTATTAATTATCTAGCATCCAAATAATGCGAATGAAGAAGAACCATATATTTAAGAGAGAAATAATACAAATATGTAATTGCTTCTGTTTATTTTCAATGTCCTTCTTATTCTGTATTTCTGAAATAAAATCATGTCCCTAATTTAAAAGAAATTGTGGGAGACTATAAGATAATTATTTCAGAAGAATTTGAACAAAATTCCTTTTTAAAGACAAGTTTACAGAAAGGCAAGGCAGGGAGCAGACTTGTCATTGAACGAAACAGCGTGCTTACTTCGCGGAAAGCGAGGTGGATTATCGTTGACATCAGTGAGGGTCACGGTGACTGACGTGGTTCCTGAGAGTCCTCCGTTTTGACCAACCATATCCTTTGCCTGAATAACAAGCAAATACTGGTCTTTAGCCTCTCTATCCATGTTTGGGAGGGCGGTCTTGATGACTCCTGTAAAATTTCAAATCCCAGTAAAATGCATCACGATTCACTGAATTCACACCAGCGAAGAACACTGACACAGGTCGCAAGTCCCTCTCGAGACGTCGTTTTATTTATTTTTAATCACTTAATGCATATAAAGAGCAAAGGGATACGATCATTGCGTACTCTATGACAAAACACAGAAAATGCTTTTCAATATTGGACGGAGAGGATTACCTTCAAGTTTCATGGAAATGTGGTTCAGGAAATGCCAAGTTATAAATAAACAAAACGAACCCCTTCTCCAGAATAATGGCAGTCACCTGTACACGAATATGACAATAAACCTCTCCTTTACTACTTGTCCACCCTCTCCAGCAACTTAACTCCGGGTGACATGAAATCACCACGCCCCCTTCAGCTAAGGTCTCTAAGTGTCCATTTTTCATCCAAATAATGAAAATGCTCCACAAAGAAAACAAGGAGAGTTGTTCACGTGTAATAAGCAAAACATCATTTCGAACTGTGGCTACAACGCTGGGTGATGCTATGCTGCATCTGAAGGTGTGAGGGAAAGTACTACGGATGAGAATGACTATGCTAATGGAAATCAGCAACACCGAAAATACTGCTGTGTTTGGCCGTTGTTTGTTTCTAATCAATTGCACTTGGTATTGATGGCCCTTCATACTTCAGATGCACGACAAATTGATTTCAGAATTTCATGTTGCTGGATGGGGAAACTTGACTCAGTAATCATTACTGCAGTGAATCAGTTATTTTGTATTAATAACTATGTAATTTAATTATCATGTCAGTATATTAGACAATAAGACCTAATCATGAGATGAAATTCAGTTTTACTATGTTATATATAAATATATAAAATGACATAAATACCTAATATAATATGCTCAGCATATGTACATCTAGATACTATTAATGAAAATGTATTTGTTTAATACTGGTCTATAGGGACCTTAACACTAACAATGAGAGATCATCTTTATTAATTAAATATAAGGAGTTCAGATCCTGCCTCATTATTTCTTGCACTTTCCTTCTTTCCAACAGAGACAACGCCTGACTTATGAACCCAGGACACTCGCGTCCATCGACTCAGCTTGAAAAAATGTCTAATCTGTCTTATTAAACAGACTCTAACGTTTAGGAGGAAGTTAGAATTTAAACCCTCACTGCCTCAGACCTGAGAGAGAGGAAGTCTGGTGTCACGAACTTTTCAAGGAAGAAAGTGGGTTTTTTGATAGAGGATGGTTCTTTGGGAAGAAAATAATTATACAAATTTGGATAAGTATCCTTTTCCTTTCATGTTCAGCATAAAAATGATTTTGTATCATTCAAATTTTATTTTTTAATTTAATTTTAAATTGTCTAAAGGTTGATTCTCCAATGGACCCATATAATGGCCGGTGTGTCTTCCATTTCAGCTCTAAGTGTGAGTTATAAGCCTAGGTTATACTGGACCAGGCCTGCCCTACGTCACAGTATCTCCAGTTCAGTAACTGTTCTGGGGGTGGGAAACAGACAAGAAAAGTTTTTTGATATTTAAAATTAATTTAAGCAATGAATGATTGATTCCTAAGATTCCAAATTAGAGTAACACTCATACTGTATCTTAAGTAACCAAAATTTTGCTTAGATCTGAGAACTAGTTATCAAATACAACACATATGCACCCCACCAACAATAACAGCTCAATTTTAAGTATTTTTTTTTATTTTTTATTATTATTTTTTTTATCCTCACTAGAGAACATTTTTCCATTTTTTGTTTAGATAGTGGGGGGTGGGGAGGAGAGGGAGAGAGAGAGAGAAACATTGATGTGAAAGGGACACATCGAGTGGCTGCCACCCGCACGACCAACCAAGGCCGGGGACAAACTGCAACCGAGGTACATGCCCTTAGCGGGAACCGAACCCGGGTCTCTTGGGAACTTAGGCCTACACTCTAACCGCTGAGCCAAACTGGCCAGGGCTATTTTCGGTATTTAAATTGCACTTTAAACAGGCCAGTTTTTTTTGTTATTGTTGTTTTAACAATCACTTATTATAACATAGTAACTGTGCTGGATATTGTTGCTACAATCCCAGTAGGAGGGGGTCCCTTTAAATAACTCCCTCACTGAATGCTCTCGGCTTTCTGTACACTGGTGAGTGTGTCATCTTTGTTCCCCAGTACTCCTGAACCCCAACAATCACCTCCATGGGCACTGACCTAAGTACCACTTGTGTGACCAGGTTGCCACAATCTTTGGTTAAGAGTTCTGGAACCGACCTGTTTCCACCTCTCTCTCTCCTTTTTGATATTCAGCATCCTTTTTATTATTTTTAATGCTTTTTAAAATACATTGAGCATTAACTATTAAAATTCTGGCGGAAAAGTATGTTTCATCTAGAGGACAAAATATTGAGTTTTTAAAAACCTTCCCTACTCATTCATTTTTAAGTTCTCATTTCTGTTGAGCTCTCATTTTCCTTCCAATATCAATGTGTGCGAGTTCCCCCCTTGCACATTTATTGCGATGGGGAGAGGACCACAGCTTCTCCATCGCTCCGTGACGGGACCCCTGTGGCCTCGTGCTCTCAGGGACTGGCTGAGAGGCATCATTTTTGAAAGAAAATAGAGAATCATTAGGAGAGAAGTCCAGGAGTCAAAGTCACTCACTCATTTCTCACACCTCTAATTGTCTCTTCACAAGTGATCCTTGAAATAACACTTTTCCAAAGCAAATTCATGACAAAGTTTGCAAAGTAATGCAGATGGCAGAGGTAATTTCTAAATAACTCAAATATTAAACATAGTTTTGACAAGAATAAAATAATTGGGAGAGAATTGAATTTAAATAGGGACATTCAAAAAATGATAGGTTTATAGTTCTAGGACTTTTGCTAGCTTTTTTCTTTTATGCATAAACTGTCTACATTTGGGAAAGATGCCTCACAGGCTGGGTCTGGTTTGCATTTTGCTGCCTATATAGACCCAGGTGCCCCGGCAAATCACTAACACTCGGGCTCCGAAGGGGTCAAGGCTAGCTGGATCCCTCCAGTTCAGTGAGGGTTTATGGGAGGCAACAATATTTCATTCCAATAGCCAATAATTCTCAACTACTCTAATGAGAATACTATATCCTACAGCTCTTTAGGAAAGAGACTGGATCCGATTTTAGGCTTTCTGAGAATTTTTCATCTGACCCAGTGACCCCAAACTTTTCATGTATTTATTATAATCCATGTCCACAAAAAATATTGCGCATATGAAACATACATTTATCGATGCAAATGTTCAACAACTGCATGGGTGTTAGTTGGAAATACATTTTTAGATGATTCTCTAATGTCTTACCAGTCTATGATGAGTTTTGTTTTTTTGTTTTTGCACATTCTGTTACCCTGGGATCTTAAGAATTTCTGCGCAGACACCCCAGTGTAGAGGACCAAACAACGTGGGAGCCGCCATAATGCTCACTCACACTTGGAACTAGCAGTGGGAGCCCAGGCAGGCTCCTGAGCCAGGTAACCTGAGGCTGAGGGTAATCGTGCTGTGTGGGTGCAATACCGATGAGGTGTGCAAGCGGACTCTCTTCTGAACCATCTGTCATTCTTTCTAAATTTCTGTCTAAGCCTTGTCTTATTGGGGCTGTCCACCTTTGAATGAAGCATATAACAGAGCCATAAAAAGGCAGCCAAGAGCCAACAACAGTAGAGATGAAAGCTTCTGGAACATCAAAGAATTCCAGAGCATCAAGAGTCCGAGGAAGAGACTCGTATGAGCTGTGTGGGTGGGTCCACACCTCCACGCATGAGCCGGGCCCCAGACGGAACCACATGGCCAGGCCCAGAAGGAGGGCTTGGCTACGGCTGACTCCTGACTTTAAATAAGCAGAAACAAATGCACATGTACTTACAGGGTGGGGCGCAAGTCGGTTTACAGTGGTGAGTCTGCGGAACAGCTTACTCTTAATAATATCATTTATTAACTAGCGTATTATTGTCCATATAAACTGTAAACTACTTTGCCCCACCCTGTGTACGGCAGGTCCCGTGTGTCACACCTCTATGTTTACAAAAGGACTCCTGCGTGACAAGGGGCAGTTAACACCCCTTCACGTTCCAGGGCCAGCTTCATGCCTTGTGACCTGTGCCTCACACTGGTCCCATGCTTGCTTTCGGGCTCTGCTGATGACATCTGGAAATCCTACTAATTTTAGAAGCAGCCTGCATTTTCATTTCCAACTGCAAATTAGGGAGCCGATCTGGCCATCTGTGAAAAACATCAACCCCGGGATCTATTTGCTTGCAGGTTTACAGACGAGGGGACCCCTCTGCCATGGTCCTCAGTCTCCAGAAAGTGGGGGCCATTGTGAAGACAGGCAACGGGGACCCCCGCAGTCCTGTTAATGCCGCATCGCCTTGTTTCTAGCGCCGTGCCATTTGCTCACTGCAGTCAATTGTCGGCGTGGGTTTTTGCACCCACTCACATTCTTGTTTTATGGCTGGAGAAGTTAGGGTAGCAACACAGCTTCCTCTGGTCATTGGGCCTGGAAGGAGCCCTATGCTGGCCCGTGAGCTTGGAGGTGTCAGCAACGCTAGGTTGGTGATCTGCTGATATGTGGTCATTAAGTAGTAAGAGTGATTATTAATATGATCCTAATAATAAATTTAATGTTATTCTTTTTTCAAAAAGGAATTAGAAGTTAAAAATATCTTAGAGATATACCTAAGAGTGATTTCCTGGTCCTTTGGTTAAAACGTAATCTTGTGTTAGTATATGTTCAGCAGTTTCCTTCAGTCAAAAATTTTACTTTCTTCGCAAAAACTCTATTTTCTTCACCTCGAAATTTAAATGTTATTTCTCACATAGATAAGAATAATACTGACAACCCTGGCCGGTTTGGCTCAGCAGTTAGAGAATCAGCCCGCGGTCCCGAGAGGCCGGGTTCGGTTCCCGCTAGGGGCATGTACCTCAGTTGCAGTTTGTCCCAGGCTCTGGTTGGGTTGTGCGGGTGGCAACTACTCAATGTGTCCCTTTCACGTCGATGTTTGTCTCTCTCTCTCTCTCCCTCCCTCCCACTCTATTTGAACAAAATATCAAAAAATGTCCTCGGGTGAGGATTAAAAAAAAAAAAAAGAAGAAGAAGAAGAATACTGACACCAAGCAAGGAAGCCTCACTCAGATGCCACTTACAGTTTTCATGTACTCAAAAATTTCCATTTTTGTCAGGAAAAGACATTTTTGGGGGCATTCTCCATATTATGAGTTAGCAGAGAAGACAATTCCAGGAACAGGTCTGCACTAATGACCACACAGAGAAGTCCCAATGATTAGACCACTAAAAACTCAAACAAAATACAATCAAACACTCATCTCTTGCCATGCACAATCCTTTGGAATCTGAAATTAAAATGAAGTTTTAAGCACCAATAGTATGGTCCCCTGCCATAGAGCACTGTCCAGTTAATCAACCAGCGAGTCCTCACCTGCACGGGGCGTATGAAACACCCATGAGCTTATCACAGAGCTGAACTCACAAGCCCACCATTATTAGAAGCAAAATATCTGACCCCTGGAATCAGTGCAAGCTATTTTTAGGAGGCTTACATAATGCAGGAGTATATGATGTGCGAGCTAATCATCAGAGACGTGTCAATGTCGTTCTAGGCTGTGGGGAGTAGACCTGGAAGGGAAGGATGGGCGTCTGAATGCGAGTCCTCAGGTCTATCCTGAGCTCAACCACAATGCCTTCCACATTCAAAGGGGTCCCGCCACAAACAGAACACGTCCCCTCTCTTCTCCTTCAGTGCCCATCAGGACCACGTCCTCCCCGCTCGACTCCGCAGAGGGCTTTGACACTCTGCCACGACATCGGGGTAGAACAGACAATGCCATCTCCGGGACGTCTAATGCATGATGAGCTGGGATTCAAGTCACGTTCTGCTCCTGCTTTGCAACCACCGTTCTCAAAAGGCATTTAAAATCTTATCACCCCCTCCCCCCAGTGATTCGAGAATGAATGAATGTTGCCATTTACAAAAATGAAAAACAGGACAAGCAGCATTGAAATATTCATTTAGGATCAGAGGTACTATCAAATATTCATAATCATAAACTTGGCTATTGGAAGAATTCTTCTCTGTGATAAAGGCACAATTACTAAACCACGAGGAAGCTGGCGATTTTAACAGCGAGGAAGAGGAGCCATGGCCCTCCCACCTGTCTTTGTACCCGCCCAGTCTTCCCTGCACAGAGAAGAATTGATTCGAAATGATTTTATCCCCAAGACAGTGCTGCAAAGGACACTCAAGTTTACTTCATGTAAACCAGTTCAGCTTAAAAGCGAAACACATTCTCTACCCAAACCACCACCTATTCTATCAAGGCAATCTTGCAACTCATAACTTTTCTCCTCCAGAAACCAGCCATTTCAGTTCATCTTTGATTTCGCAGACCGTTATCCTGCCTGTGATGTTTAAGCTAATTTCCCCGAGAAACCCAGCCCCTGGAGCATGAGCTGAACCGACCACTGACTCGGCTGCGTGGCGGGAAGATTTCTGCTTGAGAATTAAATTTCACTGTGTGTAATTCCTCTGTGACTTAATTAAAGAATAGAAACCAAAAATAAATCTTAAAGGTGAATAATCAAGATTTTCTTCTGCAGTCAGGAGCTAGTGGTGGAAATCATTTTTAATATAAAATATCTCATAGGTAGGAGTCCTGGTAAATATTTTTTAAAGTGTTCCTAAAAGGTGCTATTGCCTTTATAAAGAACATTTTCTTGTTACCATAATATACACAGGTAAAGAAGCACCATAAAATGTTATCAGGGCCAACTGCATTGTGTGAACATAACCAATCCTAGCTCTAGGTCAAGGCAGAAAGGTGGCTTCCTAAGGAGAGCCGTGTTGAATGGTTACCTGTCTTGGGCTCCACGGAGAAGTAGGGCTGTCCTTGCAGGATGCTGTAGACCACACGGGCACTGTTGCCATATGTAGGATCGTCGGCGTCTGTTGCTGTCACTTGTACCACTGAGGTCCCTACAAGCCAACCCCAAAACCGACGAATTAAAAACTTCTGATGCCACAAAGCATAAGAACGCACAAAAGTCCGATGAGTCTACATTCGATTTGTTTTTAATTTAGCATTTTTGTTTCAAGGCACACGAAAATGTGATAGCAACAGGATAAATGCTCATTAAGCCCTCAGAAATATTTAAGGGGCATGAAAGTAGGTTGGAAAAAATATAAGATTGATGATGCCAGTTAGACTGGGATACACTCAGAATTGGATGGGACTCAAATTTTTGGCAACTCATCCATCAGGGTGAGGTAAGTAGTTTTTATCAAGAGCAATCTCTCTACGCCTCAATCACCGTCCAGAGGCTGCATGACAAATAAGAGCAGCTTCACACGCAAGTTACTGAGGGGTCTCACTGCTGCAGCTCGGCAAAGCCGGAGAGAAACGGAAACTTCCTTCACTGAAGACAGAATATTGGATTATTTCATTTAGCGTTTTAATCTCCAGGTCCAGTGAAATAAGCCAGTCAAAGAAAGACGAATACCGCATGATCTCACTTAGATGAGGAATCTGATGAATCAAAACTGATGAACAAAATAGAAACGGAGACAGGGATACATGGAAAGTCTGACAGCTGTCGGAGGGGTGGGGGTTGGGGGCTGGATGCAGTAAAGTGAAAGGATTAAGCAGAATAGAAGCGTATTATTGTATAACTCACAGATACAGACAACAGTGTGGTGACAGCCAGAGGGAAAAGGGGTTGGGGGCAGGGGGAGGGGGGCAAAGGTGGGGACAATGGGGACGGAAAGAGACTTTGCTTGGGCCATGGGTGCACGATGCCATGTGCAGCTGATGTTTTGCTGAATTGTACACTTGAAACATGGATGGTTTTGCAAACCAAGGTCACCCCAGTAAAACTCGATTTAAAAAAATAATAGTGGATTAATATTTACCTGGGCATTAGTTGGCTGCCATATCTCTTCAGTAATAGTTTTATTTATTTATTTTTCTTTTTTTTTTCTTTCTACTAATTGGTTTAAAGCAAAAGCATAAAATGAAAATTTCAACCAAATTTCCAAAGGAGGAAAAACTTGACAATTTTTTTTTTTTAATCCTCACATGAGGTTATTTTTATATTTATCTTCAGACAGACTGGGAGGGAAGGAGAGAGTGAGAGAAACATCAATGTGAGAGAGATACATCGATTGGTTGCCACCCACACAACCCCAGCCGGGGCTGGGGACAAACTGCAACCGAGGTACGTGCCCTTGGCCGGAATCAAACCCGGGTCTCTCAGGTCCGCAGGCCAACACTCTAATCGCCAGGGCAAAAACATGACCATTTTAATAATTGCATTATTAGTTATTTTTCTATGTTTCATATGCTAGAATGTCATATTGCTTCTTCATGTACCACACATCTACTATTCCCTATGGAATGCATTCAGTGTGCTCTGTTCCTTTTATTTCCATGTGGAATATAATCTTTTAAACATTAGATATCTTTACTTAGTTTATATATTTCAGCACATGTTATTTTATCAATTATGTCCAACTGATGGGAATAGGACAAATCCTCTTTTTAACATATTCTTCTAAGGTTCAAGTTTGGCTCTATTAATTTCTTGAAACTATGACATTTTAAATCTAACACCTCCCTTTAGATATATTTCTATATAGATGCCCCTTTCTGAATGCCTTAAGTCATTAACATCCATTTGGTAATAAATATATTCTTTTCTCCACACTATTATTTCCTTTACCAATTTCATTTTCTCTAACATTTGTTGGAAATTATAAACTAATATATAGGACACCATTCACTATTTTTTTTAATTCTGAATATTTTTTTTTCCTTTTCTTTTTATTTTTTTATGATCTTGGGTGATTGTGCTCAAGAGTAGATGCCTGGTAGAACCAAACAGTGAATAACGTATATTTGAAAATCTTTTTAAGAATTAATTTTAATTCATTTAAAAATGTTAGAATCAATGACATTGATGTTGTGTATATTCTCTATGATGCGCTGTTCATTCTAGTGATATGCTTAGTACTGATTCTTACTTCATTAGAAAAGAAAACTCTAAACAAACAAAACGCTGAAAAGTATACTTCTGGAAGTTTGGTTGTGTACAGTGTGTACTTTTCTGAAGTGTTCATTAATTTACTGTGTACACACAGACCTATTCTCAAATAACTAAATTCTCCATGCTCATCTCTGCTCTTCTGGCAATGAATAAGCAATCCTAAGGGCTTATATGTGTTTTAAATCTTATAATTAATAAGCATGTAATGAAAAAAAAAATAGCCCTGAGTATTAAACACTGAAAGCTTGTGTTATATATACCATGCGATTTAGTGGTTATTATAAACCACTTGGTTAGAAAGAAACATTCTGATAAACTATGACTCACTTAAAATCCATAGAACCTATTTTTACATAGACCTTCACTGTTCTTAGTTCAAATGTTGGTATTAACCCAGTGATTTCAATTAGTGTCAACATTTGAAAATCATTTTCTGAAAAGTTCTAACCTGTTGGAATCGATCAGAAAACTAAAATAACCGAATGTGTGCAAAGCAATCCTGCTCTTTGGTCTCACAGGGGCACCGCTGAAGCCAAAGCCACGGGGCATCCACAGGGCATCCTTCAGCCTCTAAACCAAGGTCCCATGGATCCAATCTGCATGTCACATCCCACCAAGGGAAGGGGGACTGAGTGAGCCAATGAAGAGCACCCACCATGCCAATGAGAATGATGGGGTTGGCGTGGATTGCTCTTAGACCCCTCAAAACTCACTGTTCTGCTAAAGCTTACAATTCTCTTTTCCCTAAGACCTCCCAAATCGTGTTGCTGCTGTTGATGCTGCTGCTTTTGTTATTGTGGCAAAGCCATGACAGCATGAAGCACTCTGAAGACGTGAGCTCTACAGAGACAGTGTGAACAAGCTTCTTTGGTCAAAGAAATGCTTACACAGAAGCTACTAGGGGGAAATACTGTCAGATTTTTTTTTCCTGATCACAAGCATCGATTCCTCTGGCTCATTTTCCATTTGGATTTCTTTGGCAGCAAGAACCATGATGCCCCAAATAAATGTCCCTCTCCCATCTGATAGGAACAGAAATCGAGGTCAGTGAATTCTGATGTCCCCTGAAGGGCACACACGACAGACGACATTGTGATTGCACTTCCCAGAACAGTATGTGTGTTGCTTGAATCCTGGAATGAATGAAATGACCTGTATTGAAAGTAAAACAAATCACACTGGGTAAAATTTTCACGTGTTCAACTGCAGGTTTAATTATTATTTTAAATAAGCATCCTCCTTTGATACTAAAAACAACAGGAAATCAACATATAAAGCTATTGTGTCTATTCCAGCCCCATAATGTTTCATTGTTTCGTAAGATCATCCACACTTAAACCAGGCACTGGAAGAAAGTATTCCAGAGGTCCCTGAACACGTGGCATTTAAAACAGAGTTTAATATTATTTGATAGAAAGTAGATACTAGAAGGACTTTCTATTTTTCCAGTGATGGGCAATGTCAGAGTCTCGGAGCTAAACGACCTTCATCATTTTTTTAATATATCTCCAAACAGGGTCACTTTCCCATTGTTATTAATTCAATATAAATGGTGATGCATTTAAGTGTCTGGAGAGATTAGACAAAGATTACTGGTGGCATGTGGATGGACTTCTGTCGTTTAAGAATACAGCAGAGAAATCACCAGGTCTAAATGGCAGTGTGGCTGGCCACTGACGACCAACCCAACACCCTGACCACAGACAGATGCTATCAGAAGACAGGAAAAGAAACAATCATCATAGGCCCGTGTCTGCAAAGACTTTCCTTTTTCACTTCTTAGGCATCATTTAAATTATTTTTTTTAAAATTTCCAACTGAAAAGGGAATGTAAAAACAAAATAGCTCCCTGAAGACACTGAGGTCGCTGGGTGGAAGGAAGAATGTCCTAATTTGCCATAAAATAAAATAACATGTTGAATGACAGGGGCTAGGTCCTGACAACTAACGTGTTCCCAACACGCCCCTAACCCTTACTGGCAGCTGTTCAATACACATACGAATGTGATTTGATTCTCAGGACAGATGATGATTTGATTTTAAATACAACCCCTTAAAATCAGACCCTGCACAAGCAGTGCATGCTTGACTCACCCACAGGAGACATTTCGGGAATCCCGGCGGTGTACGGGCCGTCCAGGAACTTGGGTTCGTTGTCGTTGATGTCCTGGATCTTGATGACGAACTCGGACTCGGGCTCCACAGGCTTGTTGGTGAGCCGGTCCAGCGCCTGGGCGCGCAGCGTGTAGTAGGCCTGCTCCTCACGGTCCAGCCTCTTGGTGGCGTGAATGTCGCCGGTGTTCTCGTCGATAATGAAAATGGAACTTGCCCCTTCGCCCGACAAGATGTACTTGATGGAACCGTCTCCTTTATCCACATCAGAGTGAAGCTGGTGAGAAATTCATGGGAGATGAGATTAACTTACGAGAGAGTCAGCGACACGGAGACAACGTAAACTCATCCCTATGTGGGGCAGTAGGACACACGATTGTCCTGTTCATGCAAAGTCGAGAAATTCATGGGAGATGAGATTAACTTACGAGAGAGTCAGCGACATGGAGACAACGCAAACTCATCCCTGTGTGGGGCAGTAGGACACGCGATTGTCCTGTTCATGCAGAGTCGCTGGTGCTCACTGTGCCCAGCGGACAGGCTACGGGAACGTGTTCGCTGGCACTGGTGAACCCGACACTGCATTTCTTCCCGTAAAGAGGCCCCTCGCCAAAGGAGTGTTTTGTTTTTTGTTTGTTTGTTTGTTTGTTTTTTATCCTTACATGAGGACAGTTTTTTTGTTCAGACAGAGTGGGAGGGAGAGAGAGGAAGAGAAAGAGGAGCAGAGAGAGAAACATGACGTGAAAGGGACGCATCAAGTGCCACCCGCATGACCCAACCAGGGCCGAGGACAAACTGCAACCGAGGTACGTGCCCTTAGTGGGAACCCGGGTCTCTCGGGACCACAGGCCGACGCTCTAACCGCTGAGCCAAACCGGCCAGGGCCAAAGGAGTTTTATATCACACCCAAACTTTGAAACCTGCAGTGTTATGACCGGGTCTGTTACCAGATTTAGACATCGTCTTTGAACTGAGCAGGGACATTCAGTCAACACGTATAATGGGTTCATTTGTTCTGTTTCCAAGCAAAGGGACTTGCTATATAGAACACTTGTCAATCTAGATCCAATATAGTATTTAATGTGCTTAAAAATCCCTGCCCTCTTTAAATGTGCCCCTGCCTCCCACCCACGGTCTCTGCAAGATTATCAATATGGATGTACGTCCATCACTAAACTGACCCAGATCCTGTTCTGCACTTTAAAAATCTGAAGCTGACAAATAATCCCATTGCTCTCTGAAATCGGAATTATACATCGACATGCGCTGGTGACGTCAGCTGAGGCCCCCCTGGAAACACCCAGCAGGCAGTGGATTTGCCTGATTGGCCCTGGCGACAGGGGCGGGGCCAGCGGCTGATGTGCGTTTCCTCCGGGGCTCCTCCCTCAGCGTGTCAGAACATTATATTGAACACGGGAACCTCAGGAAACCAGAAATACCTACACATGTTCCTGCACTTCCTAACCTGAGACATGCAGGCCCCGGCCCGTCATTTCGACAATCTCCCCGGCCACAGAACAGTCATCGTTCCGGACCTGGACCCACAGGGATGCACAAGCCCGACTTGCGAACAGCGAGGCCTTTTCCTGCAGAACTCCGGGCGCACCTTTGAGAGACAAGGTGCTAGAAGCAGAAAAGGTGGCAAGTGACCTCGGAACCGTGGGCGCCGCGTTTTCCTTGTGTGTGGGAGCCGGGGGGCGCGTTGGCAGCGTGGACGCCTGCGATTCCGCCACGCGCCAGGGCAGCTGTTTGCTCTCTGCTGCAGGGGGTGCAAATACCTGGTTCACCCCTTGGCTTCTGTGGCTGCAGTCGGGGCTCAGCAACACGCGAAGGGGAGTTCCTGGCGCCAGCTCTCACTGAGATCTGCTGGGCGCGGGCCGAGCGCGTGGACCTAGCGCGGGGGTCACTGTCCGTGTTTGCCCCGCAGGTGCAGACGCTGGAGCTGACGGCCGGGTATTACTTCCTCGTCCGAAGCCCTTCTCAGGGCTGCTGCTCCGTGCACCCCTCCAAGGCGGAGAGAGCCGAGACTCGTCCTAGCTGGAGCTACCGAGTCCTTCCCTGCACCGGGCACTGCTCCTAACGGAGCCTGGGCAGTGACCACTCCACGGAGCACCGGGACTCATCGCGACCGACAGACGGGCAACCGAGGGCGAGGAGGGCTGAGCATTTCGCCTGAGCTCGCTGCCAGCTCTGGGGAAGGTCCGTGCCACCCCCTGCGGTGGGACCTCTCTCTGCGGAGACTGGCACAGGCAACCTGCCCCACCTGATAGCTCCCCAAACCCTCGAGAACCTCGATGCTTCAGGGGGTTTCCATGCACACGTGACGACCTACCGGAAGGGTCCTTGCTGGGTGCTATGTGACAGCGCGCGCTCCACCAGCCTCAGCAGCGCAGCAAGGACTCCAGGCCCCAGACAGAGGCCGACAAGGACGGGAACAGCTTGTGTTTAAGCTGCTGACACCCCAGGACGCCCCGCGGCACACACGTCACACAGGCACCCCGCAACCCGCTCAGCCTCACCGAGCCTCGGTGCGGAGTGTGCACGCACACTGACAGCCGTGCGCAACGTGCAGGAGCGTCCCTGACCTCAGAGACACTGTGCCACGCACTCTGCTCCTCCCGCAGAGTCTGCTGCACTCGGAACCTTCCCGGGGACGCCCGTCTACAGAGCCAGCCCTCGTGAGAGCTGTCATCCCTGCCCACACAACTCTGGTTCTGTTTGTGTGTTTTTATCCTCACCCGAGGACATTCTTGCATTTATCTTCAGATAGAGTTGGGGGGGGGGGCATTGATGTGAGAGAGACACATCGAGTGGTTGCCACCCACACGACCCCAACTGGGGCCAGTGACAAACCAACCGAGGCACGTGCCCTCAGCGGGAACTGAACCCAGGATTCTCTGGTCCGCGGGCCGATGCTCTAACCACTGAGCCAAACCGGCCAGGGCTGAACTGTTCTTATTGCATCTCCAATTATGCAAGAATTAGAGTCCTTCTCCTCTACCTCCCACCCACCCAAACCCACACCCACACACCCACACACCCACACACCCACACACTCCCCCCCACACCCACACCCACACACACACACACACACACACACCCTCTCTCTCTCTTACACACAGACACATACCCTCTCTCTCACCCACACACGCACACCTGTTTCAGGAGCCCTTGGACTTCACCAGCCTCCCCATCACTGGCATGTCCCCGACTGAGGACCGTCACTGTCGCATCCCCTGCAGTGAGGACCATCACTAGGCATGTCCCCCGTGGTGAGGACCATCACTGTCGCGTCCCCCGCAGGGAGGACCATCACTGTCGCATCCCCCGCGGGGAGGACCATCACTAGGCACGTCCCCCGTGGTGAGGACTGTCACTGGCACGTCCCTCGCGGTGAGGACTGTCACTGGCATGTCCCCCATCCCCCATGGTGAGGACCGTCGCTGGCACGTCCCCGCGATGAGGACCGTCACTGGCGCGTCCCCCGTCACTAGGCTTGGAATCATTGTCAAAGTTCACAAGCAGAAAATCGCAGTCTCAGCTCAGGGTCCCTGAGGGCTGGTACACGCTCGTGGAGCTGGACATGGACGACCCGCTCGGCAGGTACCGAGGACACATGACGACCAGGCCTTCAGACATCCGATCTGGGAGCTGTGCCACTATCATAGTCTTGACAGGTGGAGGGGAACCCATGATGCCAGCGAGAAACCAGCATCCTCTGTTGTGAGAGATGCTGCAAGTGTCGGACTCCAAGCGGCATTCTTAAATTGACATGTATTTGTGTCGGCGCAGGCCCACGGGTGTGCACACGCACATGCACACGCACATGCACACGCATCCTGTGTCAATGGCTGTTACGTAGATGGATGAGCACTCCTCTCCTCAGCGAAAGCCAGGGGGGAAAATTCTATTACCCTACAACGTGGTAAATAAGTCAATAAAAATACATGAAAAAACACAACAAAAAACAAATATCTGTACTCTACTTGATGCAAAGTAGAATTACTCACGATGCTACGTCTTTTTCACTTGCAAATAATCTCATCAACATCTTGCGATTCACCTGAACAACAACAACAACAACAAAATCTTGGTTCATCAAACACTAGGCAATCTGCACCTATGCTGCCTGGGTCCCTAAATCCTTTTACAATGTTTGTCGTGACACCACTGTAAATATTGCATCGTCATCATCATCATCATCATCGTCGTTGTTACTGCAGATGAGCACAGTGAGGCGCCCAGAACCCTGACTGCAGTCTACATCCTGAGGGGAAGGGGCAGGGAAGGAGGTCAGACTGTGCGGGACCCCTGAACCTCCTACACCTCAGCACTGTGTGTGGTGACTGAGCAGGAAACACCCAGCTGAGCTGGACTCTCCATAATCTGCACAGGCACGGACACAACACCTTGCCGGTGCCCAAAACATAATGCGTTTAATAACTCACTGTGGCTCCATCGTCTCCTGCTTGGTGGGACACCCACACGTTATCGCTACTGTATCAGCCCTTTCTTCTAAGTGTCTCTGAGCAGTCATCCGAATTCAGAATCTTAAAATCCTTGACTTGGGCTATCACAGAACCGCCCAGTCATCCCCTTCACTCGCTCACAACCTCTAGGCTGTCGCTGCACATGTCAGAAAATATCTCCCTAAACACACACTGCACTATGTCAGACCCTCGTTAAATACATTTAAGTGCACCCCCCATGGAATTAAGCCCCATTCTAAGCACAGGGCTCCACGTGGCCCGAGGCTGTCGCCTGGGTCTCTCTTTTTCATGCCCCCCATTGAACTGGTGCTCCCCGCTGCCTGAGCACCGCGTGTCCATCCTTGTCACCGTCCTGCCTGCCAGTGGCGTCCGCCCAGCTGATGCCACTCCCTCGGGCTGAGGCCGCAGCCACCAGCCCCCTTCCCTCCAAGGCGCTGCCTGACTTTCTCCAACAGAAAGAAAATCTGCCTTCGCTGTGGTCCCCTCCAGCCCTTTAGCATATAAACTTCACAAGAGCTCAGTTCTTCTTGGCACCACATCCCACATTCTCAATAAACAGTTGTGGAGTTCAATGTAGGGACTGTATGAATCCACTCTGTCGAACCGGCACGCGCGTTTGATTGTAGTTGCTGTTCGTTTAGGCAAAAAAAAAAAGAAAACAAACTAAACAAAAAAGCACACAGTATCTCTGGTTTCTTCTCCCTGCTCCCCTCAGCTGTCCAGATGGAGCCCAGGCTCTTCGCTGGTGTGCCCAGGGCGACACGTGGCACGTTACCTTGTACAGCAC